AGATTCGAGCTGAATAAGAAAATTCAGGCAAAAAAGATGGACAAAGTTTTAAAGTTCTGTCAAAAATATCGGCTCACCAACGTCGCGCGTTTACGTAAAAAAAGAAAAAAAAAATGTGTTCGTTTTAGTTGCAGTATAAGCGCACATCAGCGCACTTAAAATATAAATACAATTACTTGCATTACGCGGACGATCTGAAATCATTGAACCGGCGCTCCCAGCCTTCCGGAAACATTGGCTGCCACGGCCCAAACAGCTAGGCGTGCCCAGGCCGCCGATCTGTACGTTCAATATCAAACGGGCTCCCGAGAGACGTTTGATTAAACCGGTACAGTTTTACGGTCCGGTCACCCGCTTGTGCAACATGTTCACCGGTTGGAGCAAACGTGCGACAACTTTGCCCAAACGAGTCGCCCATTTGCCCCGACGAGTGACCCGTTTGCCAAAGAAGTGAGCTGTTTGCCCAAATAGGTGACCGTTATGGCTCATACGGGGGACCCCTTTGAGCCATACGGGCGACCCCTTTGGCAAACTGGTGACCGGTATGGCTAAACTGTTACCGGTATGGACCCGTTTATTTTTATACAGGCGCCAAATGGTTTTTTTCAGTAGGGAGGCGAGCTTTTCAATACTTCTGTAGTTTAAGTAAGCTACCAAAGTAATTGTAGTCAAAAGATACTTAAAGTATAACACAACAGTATTTACGATTTCCAAATACTTTAAGACTATTCTGCACATATTTTTGATCGCTGCATTTTTATTAGGGTTGGAGTATATTTTGCATAAACAAATAAATATTTTAAGAAATCTATGTGAAAGGTATTTTGTGCCTACTGATTTAGTATTTACATATTTCAGAACGCATGAACAGTACTTCACATGTATTTTAAATAAAGGTATCTTAAAAAGATTTTGGGAAATATATTTTAGTACTAAGTAAAAAGAAAGAGGTGTATATTTTCGGTCTATTTTTGGGGACCTACAATTATCAACTGTACTATACACTCAAATTAGAATCGGGTATATTTCCAACGTCTTAGTTTTCGCGAAGGAGCGCGTCAATGTTCCGACTAAAATTAGCAGGAAACCGAAGGTGTATTGGTGTAGGCCACTTATGTCCACTTCTCGCGAAAGTTAGCAGGGTAGCCGCACTGAGTTATAGATCGTGTAACGTCGGTTTCCCCGCTCAATTTAGCAGAAAAACTGGAGTGGTGATTCTAATATCCTGTGGCTTAAATCTCCCCACTAAATTTAGCGGCCAAACTAAATAGATACCGTGATGTCATGTCACGTGACATCATTTTCCCCGCGAACTTAAGCGAGGAAATGGAAAAAAACAATGGAGGGACGGATAATATATTTTTTTTTACTAGGGTTACATTAAAAAAAAAATTCCATGCATTATTAAAGCCCTAGAACTAGTTTTCCGAGCATTCCGTTTGGTAATGTGATAAAGTGAAGTGTTCTTCAACTACATCGTTTCCGAATAAAAAAAATCACTAAAATACAACATATTAATGCTGAAAATTTCCTAGAACTACGAATGACAGTCCGCCGCTCGCCCCCTCGCGGACCAAAGGGAACTAGAGGAGCGGGGACGACAGCGGTGGCGGCGGCGCGGAAACATTGGCAGGGACTGTCGGCCTTAATGCGTGAAACCGTTTTAACGAAAAAAGTGAGCGCGTTAAAATAGGAATTTCTGTGCTCCGTCTTGCAGCAGCGTTCCACGAAGGACCGGGATGTCTAATTTCATTGCGAACTTCTCGTATATCGCATACGGTGCAGATTTCTGGTCTTGTGCATGGCCGCAAGCTCAATCTATGCTCAACGTGACTGCGGCAAACGCTCCCGCTAATAATATAGAGCTCTATAGTACGGTCTACGAAAAGTCTATTCTTTGCCATAAGTAGGAGAAAACTCGTCGCGCAACGGGCATGTCGAGCAATACACATCGGGAATGGGTTCGCGTTTTAAGGCCGTTACAAGGAACATGACCAATTATTCCAAGCACTTCAAGAAGACATAATGCCCGTACTTGCTTTCAGGTAATTACAAAGCAAAGAAAGAAATTCTCGAAGCATTTTAAGCGTGTCTGTGTTAGCCAACCGTTCATTACGAGAGCTTAGAACGGCAAGTTGTGGCGAGAGGGCCGCAACGTTGCAAAGAACACGGTGCGAAAAATGTACGGAACATTAAAATATTCATTTTTGATAGAGCAAAAAATAAAACCTCTAAACACGCCGATTATTTTAATAGGCAGTTTTCGCATAGCGTACGACAACCCTAAACACTTCACTTGGACGTAGAGCGCACTGACATTCAACCGGCGCTACCAACTTTCACGAGCGGCTTGATAGCCGAGTTGTACAACTTTTTTAAAATAGCTTAAAGGGAAACTCCGCTTCATTCTCGGTTGTTAACAAACACTGCGACTCGCTTTAGTATCATCTGGAGAAACCGAATGTCAAATATTATAACGTAATACCACCTAAAAGATCACTAAATCGGCCGACAAAAACTGAGATGCGCGAAGTCACCAAAATCCGCTAATTTAGCGGGCGACGTGCGGCGCAGCCAACGTTGTACTTCCGTTGTGGCTGACGTCTGTTGCTTACGCAGTTTTTTTCTTGGTATTTTCTTTTCCAGGGAGACCTTACCAGGCGGCGCTACGGACGCGTTCCACGTCTGAGCGTGGTCTGAGCTAAAGTCACTGGACTTTAGTCTGAGCAAGCAAAGAAGCGAGACAGACAAAGAAAAAAAAATGAACGAGAACAAGAGAAACAAAAAGAGGGAGAGAGGGTTGTACAAGATGAGTTTCGCTGACATACGTGCCAACCGGTGCCAAGAGACTAACCGCAAATACTATTTGCTGACCGCCTCGGTTGCCGCCTACATAGCCTGCTTCGTCGCTGCTTGCGTTCCCCGTTCGCGGCCGCGGCTAGGCCCGCCATCCATCCTCCCTCCTCGCCCTTGCCCTCGCATCCGCGTCATTTCTGGTTTACCGCTGGTAGATCACGTGACCCATTGTATTCCACATGGGTGCGTATGCAACTGACGTTGAGGGTACAATGTTGCCCGGCTGTGCCGAAGTTTCAGTTTCGGTTTGCGATTGTGGTAAATAACAAATCGCACGAAAAATATTTTGCTTTTAATGAGACAAACGGTCTAGGGTTGTTTTGAAGCACTTTTCACGTTTATATCACCCACTATCTCAAAATTTCCGAAATCGAGCGGAGTTGCCCTTTAAGTATACGTAACTGTAAAAAAAAATAATCTTGGTTTTCTTATTTTTACAGGAAACTCTCGCTGTTTTTTTTCTGTACTGTTTTGATGAGTACTTTAGCTCTTTAATATCGCATATCGCACCGTCATCTAGCCTCTCGTAAAAGTTGGCACCGTCTGTTTGAAGTCACTGCGCTTCACGGCGAACTGAAGTTTGGGGATGTCGTAAAGTGACAAGGAGTTTAAAGACTACAACCTTTTTTTTTTAATGAAGAGCACGGAAACGCTGCTGGCGCGCGCTGAAAATTGCGCTTCAAGGGCGCAGCGCGAGCATCCAGTTGTAATGCTACACGCGCGGCAACTTGCGGTAACAAACTTTTTATCAATAACCATAGAGCAGTTTGATCACGTGTAGCAATACACTAAAACCGAGACTGGGAGCAGCGAATTGTGAGCCTGTGACCCGAAGATACCAATACTGTGAACGCTGCCCTTCCTAAGCTTGACGGTCACTGTTCGCGGCTCACTTCTTAAAGCACTAATGGCCAGGCAAAGCGCAAACATATCTTCATCACCCTCAAAAACATTCTGCCACAAACAGTGCCATGGACGGTGCCTAAAACGCGCTCACCCACCACAAAAGCCTCGCAAGTTGAGGTTTTTGCAACTTTTAGATATCAGCATGCTCGTTTTCCTAACGTGCATCAAAACCTCCGTCACATGTGATATGATCCCTCCCTAACCACTTCGCATTTGTAGACAAATAAATCACTTTTAGCGCTCTGACCAGCGTCAGCGAGCAGGCGCATGGGAAATCCTGGAGAATCTATCCCAGTCCCCTCCGCCATCTTGGAACCACCGCCCCGCCGCCTATGGGGCGTTGGAGTTCCGAATATCTAACGGGACGGTACCAGTGTTGTCAGGCCGTGCTATAAACATGATACCAACAATGTTTCCTTTTCTCCCGTTTCTGACATTGTCGGTGAATACGAAACTGTTTCCCGGTATAGCACTTTGGATTATTTTAATGTGAAAGCATTAACTGTCTCAAAAAGTGAGCTGACGTCATCAACTTTGAAACCACGCTAAACGGCTCGTTTACACCGCTTCAATCCAATTGGCTAGCGCGCGTCTACAGCCAGCGGCACCATTTACACCGCTGCAATCCCATTGGCTATCGCGCGTCGACTAGGCTTCCATTCGCCGGACACGCAGCGCCATGGGGTGGCCGATCGTTGAAACTGACGCGCAGCGTTAGTTTCAACGACCGGCCACCTCATGGCACTGCGTGTTCGTCAGCGCTATCAGAGTTGCGCGTCTGTTTTTCACGTGCCTCCGCGCCGCTATCGCCGAGATCTGATCATGTGAGAAGTCGGATCAAGGGCCGTGCAGGAAAGTGGACGTTGCGCACGCCTCGGCTTACGCTCCCCTGCTTTTGAGAGCGCCGCGCGCCTCGAACGCGAGGCGCCGCTATTCGCCGCATTCAGTCACGTGAGGAGCAGACTTCAACTGCCGTGAAGGAAAGCCGGCGCTACGGGGATGAACGCGCAACTCTGGGTTCCGCAGGCAGCCTATACAGGAACACTGTCAGCGCCAGTCAGCGCACCAACACGCGTAGACCAAGATTGATGTACATGCTTTCGCATTCACAACTCATAAGAAATGCTTACGTGTACCTCGATCTTTTTTCTTTTCTTCCTTCTTTTAAGAACAGCAATTTTTACTATGTTAATACCTAGTTTAATTGCTTTTATAGAAGCCTTCATTTTCTCCTACAGTTACCACGTTTTCATAATCACACAACATTTATTGAGATTTATCAAATGGTGGCACAAAATAATTTTTTTCGTGACTTGCGGAAAATTTTGACCGAGATACCAATTGAAAGGTAAGTTCTTACACCATATTAATTTATCCGAATAAA